CGGTTTTGTCTGGTTAGGGTAATCCTGCGGCGTCTGGGGATCCTCGTGCCTCTTACATTATTCTTCCTTTAGATTTGTTTACGTTGCTTCCGTCGCTTTCTCTCCTCCGGACTAGTACTAGTACTACATTTCAAAGACGTCGGGTTAGGGTAGGATTATTATTATTCCTTGATTAATTGCTTCGTACGGACCAGGAGCTAAACTAATCGGTGGCGGCGCGGCGTTGCGATCCCGTGACTAGTTTTACTATCTGCTGGCATCCACAAGGATTTCTGTTATGTACTGTACTAGGACTATATTTGACTAACAGAGTTGTGTTGGACCAAGTCGGCCCATTTGTTCTGCGTGTCACGGTCTCACAAAAGCAACTTCATCCGTTTAGAAATCAGAAATAAGCTTTCTGTCTGCTCTGATCTATGCGTTTTCGCTTTTTAACCAAGGAAAAGCCACCGTATGCTTTATGAAATACTACAACTTTTACCATCTCAACAGGCTTTCTTTCAGAGGGAAACAAACTTTGGCATTTTGCCAAAAAGATTAAAGCCTTTTTGTTTTGGTTCTGGCCCCCGCCCGTGATGGCATGCTTGACTGGCAGGCGGATGCAGACCATGATGCGTACACTTCATACACGGTGACCCATCCACGTGGTTACCGAACAGTGTGGCAACTGATCAATGCTGCCGTGGTTGAATCTTGTTGTGGTTCTCTGTCTCCATCACAGCTTGCAGTGGATTTTGACATAGCACTAGTGAGATTTAGTATAGTCATTCACCGACAGCTGCCTGCCAGCATCCTGCATTCAACTCCGTCGCGATCTGTATGTTCCTAGATTGCATTATAATATGAACTCAAAGTCCATCCTTATTTACTGACGAGCATTCCGTGGTCCACTGTTTGAATCGTACTTTGACGTGTGCCCACGGGCTCATTTATTTACATGGAAGCTCTTTACTCCGTAGCCATAGAGATGGTAGGTCTGGAAAATGGTCCTTGTGGCTAGTATTATGCTGATCACTATAATGTGTACGTGATGTCTTTGTACTTGTATAGCTGGAATTGCTTCAAAGCGTGTGGCTGTTATATCTTATAGGCACTACTTCTGCAGTAGGAGTCGTGTCATAAATGTTTCCTAGCATTTGGTGCTTCTCGAAAAAGATTGGTGTAATGATGTCTGTTCTTTTTGGATTATCGTCACATGCGTGTACATGAGATGGGACATTGTTCTTGTGGTCCATTATTTTTTATGTGATGCCAAAAGTGTGTAAAACAATCAAAATGAGGACCCGTACACTGCAAGATACTATACTTCCTTACCTCCCGTAAGTGTGTTACTACAGACCAGTTCTCTATTCTTGCACTTGTTGAGTTTTGTGATCGAATTGTGTGTGAAGGTAAGAATTGGAGTGTGTCTTAGTTACCTGTACTGGTTGATGGGTCACTTTGTGAATCATGTGATCAACTCACTTTGTGACATAATGGGATGTTATTCCATTGTGGAGACTACATACTGAGTTATTTCAGATGGAAAATGGGAATAGCTAGGAGGGGACTAGGTACTATATCAGTTAACAAGAAAATAAATAGGCACTCAAATCCGAGCCGAAGATACCCACACCTCCCACCAAAGAATTTAGATCAGTTCCTCTGATTAGCCTTGAACTTCCTATTGTAAGGCCAATGGTAGCAAACAGTTAATCCTACTGCCAACATTATGGTTCTTGTAGTACAACTTGTATATGTTGAAACAATGCTTTCTATATCTACTCTTATAAATTGGAGTTGGAAGCAGTGATGGTAAGTTCACTCCCCCACTCCATTCCAATCTCCCTTGCCCATCTAGGAACCACTAGACCCCATCCGACTTGATTTTTTTTATAAACAAAACAGAGAAAAATAATGTAGCTGGGGAGCCTCGAACCTCACACCTACCTCTACACATAACTCTGTCAAACCAGCAAACAACTGTCTATTTTGAATGGGAAGGTACATTATTAGTACTCCCTCCGTAAACTAATATAAGAGCATTTAGAACACTAAAGTAGTGATCTAAACGCTATCATATTAGTTTACAGAGGGAGTACATGACAGTACACAATTGTTTTTACCGGGACACTAACCAGCCAGTCAATCCACCAAAATTGATTTTGATTTTTTTCCCCTGCCGCGGCTCCTCCCCGATATGCATTCTCCGGTTCCCGCTCCTCCCGACACGCATCCTCTGGATACCACCACTCCTCTCAACTTCCAATGTCATAACTTTCAAATTTCAAAATCTGGCCATGGTGCTTCAAATCTTGTAATGGTGCTCCCATGTCTGCTGCAGTTATGCAAGTGCAGTGTTGTCTGCTTGCTTGAGTTTTTCTCTGCAGTGCTGCAAGTGCATTGGTAGTTGGTATACCATATTAATCCAATAGAACAACAATCATTTTTGTGGTTCTGTGGGAACACACGAGCATTATGCTAGTTCCGCCTAACATTTTTGTCTGGTATAACTTTTCAGATGCAGTTTTCTAATGTGACATCATTTCTTCTTTATTTGACTGGTTAGGTGTTTGTGTTTGGTTCGGTTCCATTGAAGACTTATCTTCCCGATGGGGACATTGATTTAACTGTAATTGGAAATACATCTTGCGGTAGTACTTTGATTGATGATGTTTACTACATCCTTGGGTCGGGGGAGGAGAATGGTGATGCTGAATTTGAAGTGAAGGACTTGGAACACATTGATGCAGAGGTGTGCTATCCTGTTTGCTCCTCATACACATTTATAGTTCTTTCATTCTGGACAGAAGTCTGGGAAAACTATGATATTGCACTCCTAAACCTTTTTTGTCCTTAGCATACATTTCTTCTCTTCTAACAAATCCTTGGTACACATGGAAGTTAGGCTTAACAACCATATACATGTTTCTTCCTTCTGATGCAGTTTTAGTCTGTTACTGTTTTGCACATGGTAGCTGCCTCTAAATTTTCAAATATTCCGCCATCCAGGTCAGACTCATTAAATGCACTATTGGAAATATTATTGTTGATATCTCATTCAACCAAACTGGAGGAATCTGCGCAGTCTCCTTCCTTGAGCTGGTAATGTGTTGTGATTTTTTTTGGAAAAACAATGCAATTTACGCTTGCTGTTCTGCTTCAGTCTTTATAGTGAAGTTGCTGAATATGTAGAATAGAATGCTCAACATGTTCCTGTGCTAGTCTAGGTGTTCTTTTATTTGGTTATTACTATGCCTAGTCCTGGAAAAGTAAACGAGTGTTCCTTCTTCAGGTTGACCGCAAAGTTGGGAAAAATCATCTATTTAAACGGAGCATTATATTAATCAAGGGATGGTGTTATTATGAAAGTCGCCTACTAGGAGCTCATCATGGTCTTATATCAACTTATGCATTGGAGACACTTATCCTATACGTCTTTAATCTATTTCATAAATCTCTCCATGGTCCCCTGGAGGTAAGTCCTGGCAGGAATGACTTATCTCAGACATTTGGAAACATCTTTAGACAATGCAAAAACTGATACACTTTGTCTCCATCTTTTCTTATATTTAATAGGTTTTGTATAGGTTTCTGGAATATTTTAGCAAGTTTGACTGGGACAAATACTGCATATGTCTAAATGGCCCTGTTGCTTTATCGTCTTTGCCTAACCTAATTGGTGCGTTACCTTGTAATCTATTTCTTGGCAGAGTTATCACCTGATTCCTATTTTGTTTCAATCCTAAAACTTGTATCTCTTGCAGTTGAAGGTTTAAATGTACCTAGCGATGACTTGCTGTTTGACAAAGAGTTCCTTGAGAACTCAGTGCAAAAAGCATCTGCACCTCCAAGAAATTCTGATGCACGCTATTCCAAATTCCGTGTGAAATGTCTAAACATAATTGATCCACTGAAGGAGTGCAACAATCTTGGCAGAAGTGTGAACAGAGGTTTGAACTAACCAAAATATATGAATTGATTGTCCCTTTCTAAATTATCTTCCGAAACTTTGACGAACATATATTGTTTGCCTTTAGCATCATACTTGTGATGTGCTGATGTGTACATAAAGTTGTGCATAAATCCGTAACAGCATGATCTCATACTGAACATATGTAGGGTTTTATTTGAGTGATGTCTATTATATGGAGTATTTTCTTTCTATATTTCTTTGCTGGCGAGGGATTGCCAAGTCTTGTTTGACATTTTATTATTGTGCAGCGAATTTCCATCGTATTCGAACTGCTTTCTCGTTTGGTGCTCGAAAGCTTGGTCAAATTCTTATGTTACCACCAGAACTTATTCCTGATGATATTTTCGCATTTTTCAAAAACACCTTGGAGAGGAATGAAAATGGAGTAAGGTCAGATATTGACCATGTTGGTGCATTTCATTGTCAGCCCTTCCTTGGTCCCAGCAATCAACTCTTAGATGGCATGTCATGCATGCAGATTTCTTACAAGGAGGAAGAGAAAAGTCGTCCTCGTGTTTCAAAGAAATTAGCTGAGCACGCAGTAAGTGTCAGAATAAACGTGCCTACGCAGGGTGGATGTTTTTCAGGAGATGACTCGTTTGCACCAAGTACTGATCTGAGTGCAAGATTATCCCACTGTGTCCGTCATGAACCGAATGACCATGCGTATGTTTTTCACGAAAATAGAAACTATGTGGCCCCTGAGATGGATGGACAGGAATCTCGCTATGCAGCTGAAGCCTATATGGGTGACAAATCACTGATACAGCCACAGCATCATGCACACTATTCGTCAAATATATTGAGCTCTATCCATGGCAGTGATTTAGGACTTCCAAAACCTGGTCCCACAAAAATGGAAAAGTTAATTGGAACTTCACTCCATGTGGAAGAACATCTCCATCCACTGTCATTGTTGAACTTGTCGGATCTATCAGGGGATTTGGAATCACAGTTGAGATGCCTCCGTCAAGTTCAGTACAACTTAGAATACTTGTTTGATGAATTTTCGCAGTCTGTCCAAGAAGCATCTTCTGACGGTAAGGTTGACAAGGATTTATTTGACATTCTAAATCGTGGCATCCTGTTAAGTACTGATACGGCGCTACCTGGGCTATTGCCGCCTTCATATGCTGAAACGAATGGAATGAAGTTATCTCCAGTTTCTTCTCATAGCACTGAAGTTTCACAGCAATCACAGGATGAGGACAACTGGGATATGCCCTTTCAGTTGAATGCCTGTGGAATAGATGTCCCATCTAATGGATTATCGCCATCTTATATTGCTGATTCAGATATTTCTGTTTCGTGGTGGCATAGATCAGAGGCTATACCCAATATGCGTGAAACAGTCGGATATATTCGTGAAAAGGTAGGAACAGGTACCCTCAATTCTCACTTTTGGATATCTCATGCATTGATCCACGGCATTCCTGTGTTCAGTAAACTGTCTCAAAGCATTTTTATGTTTACTATATGTACTGGCTTTTGCCTACATAGATCTAGTTTTTATCTGGTCGTTCTGTTATTGTCCTCTTAGGATTAAAAAAGGGGAATATAGTTTATTGTTTCGGTAAGCGGGAAAGTCTGTTCAGTTTAGAAAACATGTATTGCTACATTCCTCTGAAATATATCTGTCCGTTCATTGTTATTTGGTGTATATGATAGTTACAAGTTCTGTTTCTGTATTACAGCACATGACATCTATCGGAGAGAAAGGGAAGATCCTGATCAATCAACCAGTGAAGATTAAAAGCAACCAGGCCACGATTCCCAAACGAAGTTTTGTCCCTTGCCAGGAGCAAGTAGCGCCAGACAGTGGGACCAAGGAAATAAGTCTGTCATTGGGAATTGGCGATGGTCTAAATGGATATACTCTCTTAGGTATGAAGACGACTGAAAAGCACAGTGGTCATACTCGAAAGGAATTTGTCAAACCTCACTACGAAGCAAGGCACACACGGAGCTCCTATGGGGATGTCGGCTCGAACAAAACCTTCTTCCAGAAGCGAAATTATGATACTGGCATGAAGTGTGCACGACCAGTTAGTGCAAAATACCAGCCACCTGAAGTTGAGGGTACTCCAGATGAGTGCACATACATGAACAATAACTTGGCAAGAAATCAAAGCTGCAACACTCCTAAAGGGTATGGGACAAATCGAAGACTAGCCTCTGAGCCATTAAAACTTCAAAGCAGCACAAGAGGAAGGGGTTTCTCGAAAAAGAACTTGCCTGCAAAACAAAAGTATGATAATCACAGTGGGCTCCCATATTCTTTTGTGAGAGATACAAAGCATGCACCGAATGGCCAAGTTGCGACCATTCTAACTGGTTCGACAAAGGAGGTTGCCCTGAATGAAGAATTGGTTGAAAATGGAACTAAACCAATGCCAAATGTTTTCATTCCTCGTGATAGCAGCTGGAATAACCAACGGATGCTTCTGGCACCTAGTACTTGTCACCCCTCCGTCCCTGTCACAAAAGTATATTCTCAATCTGGAGCCTTGGAGACACAGCCAGATAGGATTATTGAGTTTGGCTCTTTGGGGCCTTTCTCGTTGACATCTCCCTCACCAAAGTCAAACAAGGCCTCGCCAAAGGCATGTGCAGACGCCTCTGCATTGGCGTTACAGAGCTATAGAGCCAGTGCAACCCAAAGCAGGTAACATCAAAGGATCTTACAGATCAATATATTAGAGTAATCTTTTGCCTTGAAATATGCTAGAGGTCAAGCATCTAAGAATGATGTCACAAAATAGTAATTTGGGTTTATTTTATTATAAAATGACACTAGGTTTGTTTTTGTTCAATGGTCAACTTTGCATGCTTATTTATCTTCACTGCATTCAGTCCATTGACCCTGTACTACTACCTTAATATGGTTAATCTGTTAACTTTGACACTGTCTCAGGTCGTCAGGATTTTACAGAATAGGAGATGAAGAGCAGTTCCCACCACTCCATGCTAGGACCCGCTGAGACTTACAGTAGCATGCAAATGATCATCATTTAACTAGAGGAAAAGAATAGTTAACCCAGTTGATGTTCACAAATATGACCATCCTAATAGTATACATCTACCTTGTAAAGTTATATCGACACCTTGCGTTTCTAGCTTTCGTGTCTATAGGTAAAGGTACCAAAGAAAGGTTTTAGGTGCAAGGACTAACTATACAGTTGTAGTTTTCCCTTCTCAAAATTAGAAATGGGTAAAACAGGAGAAAGATAAACATATTTATGAGTTTTTCTTGAGACAAAAATTATGAGCCTTTCTGCTACCATGAACTGTGAAAGTGTTCTTTCAAATAGTAAATTGCAAAAAAATTAGGTAAAAAAAATCCATTTTTTTTCATAAACAGAGATGAATGTTTCAACCCCGTGCAATTTTTTTGAGCTGAAATGACATTCATGTGCCACGCTGGTGTTTATGAAAAAAAGGTGTGGTTAGGACTCAGTCGACCGAGACTAACCAAGTCTTAGGTGAGATAACGTGTAAGAAAAGAAAATGTTCTTTTGCACGGCTTTTGATGTGAAAGCTCATGAATATAACCAAGTCTTTCGTTGGCTGAAATTTAGCAAGATTGAAGAAAAAACAGAATTTTTATTTTACTCTGTTTTCTTATTTTTACTATTTATCAAGACAGAGTGAGCTCGAGAGCAGAAACTCTATGTCTCAACTGTTGCTACACATGTACTACTTAACTATGCACGAGAGCAATACATCGTGTAATTCACATATATAGCTACACATGTACTCAACTATGCACGAGAGCAATACATCGTGTAATTCACATATTTTACATGGTATCAGTTTTTAGGTTTTAATTCTCGCCTTCTGTTGCCGCCGCCGCGCTTTTCCTCATGTGCCGCCGCTGCCGCCCGTGTGATTTCCCGCGCCGGTTGAGCTACTTCTCTGCTAGCCGCCGCTCGACATCTACCCAGCCAGTGCGCTCGCTTCTCCCGATCGCTTCCCGTGCCCGCTGCCCGATTGCTCGCCGCCGCCCGCGATCTACCTAGCCACAGTGCCCGCTACCCGATTGCTACCAAGCCACCGCGTCGCCTGCCCGCTAGCCACTCGCGCCTGCCAGCTCCCAATCGCTAGCCGCCAACACGCCGAAGCGCCCAGCCGCCCGCGGCTTGTTGACTCCAAGCCGCTCCACCTTGCGCCCGCCGCTACCCAGTGTCACCGCCGCTGCTCCGTGTCGTAGACATCCCCTTCCTCTAAGCTTTCACCGCAACACCCGCCTACTGCAGCCGTCCGAGTCACCCGCGCCGTCTCGTTCCCGCCATGTCGTCCGTCACCTCCTTCGCGTCCATCAACTCCAACCCGTTCGCCGATGCCAACCCTTCCGACGTTAACGACATTCGCAACCTGAACATCTTCGAGCGGGTACCGGTTCGTCTCTCACAGATGGACTCCTCCTATTACACGTGGAAGACGTATTTTTTCCTCGTGTTCCGAGAGTATCACCTCATCGACCACGTGGACGACACCGTTGACTCCAGCCTCGTCCTCAAGTTCTATGACTGGTCCACCATCAACACCATGATCATCCGCTGGTTCTTCCTCACCATCTCGCCAGACCTCTTCTAGATGGTCGTGGCGGACGGTGACGATGCCTGCGCCGTGTGGACCAAGCTGAACGGGCTATTCACCGACAACCAACTCCAGCTTCGCATTTGTTTGCAGCAAGAGTTTTTTGGGTGTCACCAGGACAACTCCTCCGTCGACGACTACTGTCGCCGCCTAAAGACTCTCGCCGATGAGCTCCACGATATTGGCGCGAAGATCGATGATGACCTCCTCCTCAGCACGCTCACAGCCGGACTCAACGAGGACTTCGGCAACGCCAAGGCGAACCTCAGCCTCATCCCCAACCTATCATTCGCCAAGTTCGTTGCGTACCTCCTCTTGGAGGAGCGGTGGATGAAACATGTGAAGGCGCGGGCCATCCACACCGCCCTCATCGCCGACACCACCCGCGGTGGCTCATCGGCGCCTCCAGCCGTCCCGGCTGCGCCCCCGCCGCAGCGCCACCCGGCGCCGTTCCTGGCGCCACCGTCGTACCCGGACACCCAGCAGTTGGGCCTGCTCCCACTGCCCTATGGGCCGCCCGCCCCTCCCGTCGAATGGCGCCGCGGGGGCCGGCATGGTGGGGGCCGCCGCGGCGGTCAGCAGCAGCAGCCACAGGGCGCCGGCCGGCCCCGTCAACAGCAGCAGAAGAAGTTCCAGGTGCCCCCTCCATGGGCATTCGGCTACAACCCGTGGACCAGTGTTGTTCATGCCTACACCATGTCGGTTCCACGGGATCCTGCACCGACCCTTCCCGTGCCGTGCCCGCCGGCGCATTAGGCGTACTACGCGGCTCCACAGCCGTACGGAGGATACCCACTACCGCTGCTGAGCGGCGCCTACGGTCTCCCTGCGGCCCCGCCGCCACTCTTGCCGGCCCTGCCGCCGGCGCCTTGGGATCCGGCGCTCCTCGCCGCGCTGCACACCGTGCCTACGTCGAACAACTACACTGGAGGCGGGGATTGGTACATGGACATCGGTGCTACGGCTCACATGTTTGCTCATCCTGATAATCTTGTCTCCTTCACTCTTGTCACCACCGACCGCCGTATCATTGCCGGCGACGGTTCCACTCTACCTACCACACATGTCGGGCACACCTCTTTTCCTTCTAGTTCCATGCCTATTACTTTGTCTAACATACTTGTGTCACCTCATCTTATTAAAAATCCCGTTTCCGTTCGTTGTTTAACTCGTGAAAATCCTATTACTGTTGAATTTGACGAGCTTGATTTTTGTGTCAAGGACGCTCAAACCAGGATGGTACTTCACCGTTGTGACAGCCTCGACGAGCTCTATCCGGTGCATCCGCCGTCCACCTCCACCATCGCACCGTTGCTCCCTCCGCCGGCGTCGATCTCTGGCACGCTCGTTTGGGTCATCACAACCCCGTCAGACTTCGTCATATTCTTAGCAGTTTCAGTTTCTGTTGTAATAAGATAGAGGATCACACTTGTCATGCATGTCGTGTCGGCAAACATGTTCGCCTCCCGTTTAATAACTCCACCACCATAGCTTCTTTTCCTTTTCAGTTGATTCATAGCGATGTGTGGACCTCTTCGGTCCCTAGTAATTCGGGCTATTTATATTATCTGGTTATCCTTGATGATTATTCTCACTATGTGTGGACGTTTTCTTTACAACAAAAGTCGGATGCACTCTCCACTTTGACGGCCTTTTACTTCTATGTCAGCACGCAGTTTGGGCATCCCATCCTTGCTCTTCAGACTGACAATGGAAAAGAGTTCGACAACCTCGCTTTTCGCACCTTTCTGTCGCTTCACAGTAGAACGGTCGAGCCGAACGCGTCCTTCGCACTCTGAACGACTGCGTTCGCACACTCATGTTCCATGCTAATGTGACGCCTCATTTCTGGCCGGACGCACTCGCTACTGCTTCACTTCTCCTTAACCTTCGCCCTTGCCGCACACGATGGAACTATGCACCTCACCATCTTCTCTTCGGTACGCCCCCATCTTATGATGGCTTGCGTATTTTCGGGTGCCTTTGCTATCCTAGCACTGCTGACTCCGCCCCTCACAAACTCACACCTTGTTCTGTCACTTGCATCTTCATCGGCTACCCCTCCAACTCCAAGGGATATTGGTGCTACGATCCCGTCTCCCACCGTGTGTTCACTTCCTGACACGTTTACTTTAATGAGCATGTGTTTCCGTTTCAGCAGGTACCCCCGGCTGTTCCTCCCGCCACCGGTGACGCGGGCTTCTCGACGCCGCTCCCAGGGCGCTCACGCGCCTCTCTTGGCCCACCCCTGGCTTTGAGGCGCGCCCCCCGCATGCGGCGCCTCCTACAGCCGCGCCCCTGACGTTGGCGCCCGCTGCCCCCGCGGCGTCCCCGGCGCTCGGTCCGGTCACCCGCGCCCATACAGGTGTTTTTCGCCCGAGCTCGCGCTACGCCACGGATGACTACGTCCGTGCGGCGTCCACCTCTGAGCCGTCGCCGTTGTCGCCCTCTGTACGAGCCGCTCTTCGTGACCCGCTCTGGATGGCTGTGATGCAAGAGGAGTTTTGACGCCCTGTTGCACAACTGGACGTGGCACCTTGTTCCCTGTCCCGGCACGCCAACGTGATTACCGGGAAGTGGGTCTTCAAACACAAGCTCCATCCTGATGGTACCCTTGATCGCTATAAAGCGCGTTGGGTCGTCCGTGGCTTCCACCAGCGTGCTAGTATCGACTTCACCGACACCTTTGCTCCGGTAGTCAAGCCTGGCACGATAGCACGGTGCTTCACCTTGCGGTCTCCCGTGCTTGGCCGGTGCACTAGTTGGACATCTCCAACGCCTTCCTCCATGGTCACCTCGAGGAGCAGGTCTTCTGCCAGCAACCCACTGGGTTTGTTGACCCGACTCTTCCCGACCACGTGTGCCTACTCTCGCGGTCCTTGTATGGACTTAAGCAGGCCCCGCGCGCTTGATACCAATGCATCGCGGCATTTATCCACCAGCTTGGGTTCCGCTCTACCCGCTCGGACGCCTCACTCTTCTTCTATCATCAGGGTTCTGACACGGCCTACTTGATACTCTATGTCGACGACATCATCCTGACGGGATGTACGACTGGTCTCCTCAGTCAACTCACGGCTCGTCATCGCGCTGAGTTCGCCATCAAGGACTTGGGTCCTTTGCACTACTTCCTCGGTGTCGAGGTGGTGCGCCGTCCGGATGGCTTATTCCTTCATCAGCAGAAGTACGATCATGAGCTCCTGGAGCGCGCCGGCATGCTTAACTGCAAGCCCACCGCCACGCCTGTTGATACGAAGGCCAAGCTTTCTGCCACAAATGGTTCTCCTGCTTCGGATGCTGCTTTCTATCGGTCTATTGTGCGATGGCCAACACCGTCGCCGAGTGCTCGTGGCTTCGCTAGCTGCTTCAGGAGCTCTCCTGC